TGTCATCTCCGATCATCCTTTGTACCTCTATGGCTCCCGTATCCATGAACGTGATACAGTCAGGTTTCTAGGCCTCCTCTTTGATCGTCGGTTATCCTGGAAATCTCACATTACCTCTCTGGAGGCAACTTGTCACAGCCGGCTGAACCTTCTTAAAACCCTTGCTCATCTTCATGGGGAGCTGATCGTCGAACTCTCCTTCGCCTACATTCCACCCTCATTTTATCGAAACTTGATTATGGTGACCAGATCTATTCAGCGGCCTCTCCTGCTACTCTCACTTGCCTTAACCCCATCCATCACCAAGGATTACGTTTATGCCTTGGTGTTTTTCGCTCTTCCCCTGTTGAGAGCCTCTATGCAGAAGCGAATGTTCCATCCTTGTCTGATTGCTGTGATGCCCATTGCCTTTGCTACTATGTACGCTCTCACGATCTCCGCAATCCTTCCATTTATAGAATGATCACCGATATTAGTAGACATTCTTTATTGGTTCGCCGCCCCTGTTTGCTCCGTCCCTTTTCTCTTCGCCTACATTCGCTCTTGTCTTCCCTTCAGTTACCACCTTTATATGTTCATGTAGCATCTCACTTTTCCCTACCCCCCTGGGAAGTTCCAACTGTTGGGGTCTGTTCTTTCTCACTCCCTTGCTCAAAAGCCCAACTGCCTACAGTGGCTTCCCGCTCTCTATTTCTTGACCACTTCCACTCTCATTCTCATGCCATCGCAGTGTACACAGATGGCTCTAAGTCTTCTGACGACGTCGGATTCGCAGCAGTGTTTCCAGACAGCGTCGTGCATCTACTATCTTCGGCTAGCATTTTTAATGCTGAATTGTATGCTATTCTTGCAGCTCTTATTTGTATCGCATCTATGCCTGTGTCATCATTTGTGGTTGTCTCAGACTCCCTTAGTGCTCTACATGCTATACAGAAATTTGATACACCTCACCCCCTAGTTCTCCGTATCCAACTTTGGTTACACCGTATCTCTACCAAGCATAAAGATATTGTTTTTTGTTGGGTCCCTGGTCATGTTGATGTACAGGGCAATGAGCAGGCAGACACTGCTGCGCAGTCAGCAGTACATGACCTACCAGTTTCATATAGAGGTGCTCCATTTCCGGACTATTTTGCTATAATAGCTACCCACCTTCCTACCCATTGGCAACAACGTTAGTCAACTCTGCTCGGTAACAAACTTCATTTTATTAAACCGAGCATAGGTTACTGGCCGTCTTCTTGTCATCAGTGCCGAGGTTGGGAGACCACTCTCTCCCGCCTTCGCATTGGCCACACTCGTCTTACTCATGGGTATCTCATGGAAAGGCACCCTGTTCCTCTCTGTGAGCAGTGTCAAGTTCCAGTATCGTTTAGCCACATTCTGTTAGACTTCCCTCTCTATCATCGAGCACGCAGAATTTACCTCCAACGTCGGTGGGTGGTGTGGGTGGCATCCTGGGTGTTAGTGGACTGGTGTGGGTGGCATACTGGGTGTTAGTGGACTGGTGTGGGTGGCATCCTGGGTGTTAGTGGACTGGTGTGGGTCACATCCTGGGTGTTAGTGGACTGGTGTGGGTGGCATCCTGGGTGTTAGTGGACTGGTGTGGGTGGCATCCTGGGTGTTAGTGGACTGGTGTGGGTGGCATCCTGGGTGTTAGTGGACTGGTGTGGGTGGCATCCTGGGACAAAATTGACATAATTTGCGGGAAATGCTCAGCATAACAAGCAACTTTCTGTATAGTAGTATGTCACTGATGTCAGCTATGATCTGTATACCTTGTACATGTACTTGTATACCTTGTACATGTACTGGTATACCTTGTACATGTACTTGTATACCTTGTACATGTACTTGTATACCTTGTACATGTACTGGTGTACCTTGTACATGTACTTGTATACCTTGTACATATACTTGTATACCTTGTACAGGTACTTGTATACCTTGTACATGTACTGGTATACCTTGTACATGTACTTGTATACCTTGTACATGTACTTGTATACCTTGTACATATACTTGTATACCTTGTACAGGTACTTGTATACCTTGTACGTGTACTTGTATACCTTGTACATATACTTGTATACCTTGTACATGTACTTGTATACCTTGTACATATACTTGTATACCTTGTACAGGTACTTGTATACCTTGTACATGTACTGGTATACCTTGTACATGTACTTGTATACCTTGTACATGTACTTGTATACCTTGTACATGTACTTGTATACCTTGTACATGTACTTGTATACCTTGTACATGTACTTGTATACCTTTTACATGTACTGGTATACCTTGTACATGTACTTGTATACCTTTTTACATGTACTGGTATACCTTGTACATGTACTTGTATACCTTGTACATGTACTGGTATAACCTTGTACATGTACTGGTTACCTTGTACATGTACTTGTATAACCTTGTACATGTACTTGTATACCTTGTACATGTACTTGTATACTTGTACATGTACTGGTATACCTTGTACATGTACTTGTATACCTTGTACATGTACTTGTATACCTTGTACATGTACTGGTATACCTTGTACATGCACTGGTATACCTTGTACATGTACTGGTATACCTTGTACATGTACTGGTATACCTTGTACATGTACTTGTATACCTTGTACATGTACTTGTATACCTTGTACAGGTACTTGTATACCTTGTACATGTACTTGTATATCTTGTACATGTAATGGTATACCTTGTACATGTACTTGTATACCTTGTACAGGTACTTGTATACCTTGTACAGGTACTTGTATACCTTGTACATGTACTTGTATACCTTGTACATGTACTTGTATACCTTGTACAGGTACTTGTATACCTTGTACATGTACTTGTATACCTTGTACATGTACTTGTATACCTTGTACATGTACTTGTATACCTTGTACATGTACTTGTGTCTCACCTAACAACCACATGTACTTGTATACCTTGTACATGTACTTGTGTCTCACCTAACAACCACATGTACTTGTATACCTTGTACTTGTATACCTTGTACATGTACTTGTATACCTTGTACAGGTACTTGTATACCTTGTACATGTACTTGTATACCTTGTACATGTACTTGTATACCTTGTACATGTACTTGTATACCTTGTACATGTACTGGTATACCTTGTATATGTACTGGTATACCTTGTACATGTACTTGTATACCTTGTACATGTACTTGTATACCTTGTACATGTACTTGTATACCTTGTACATGTAACTGGTATACCTTGTACATGTACTTGTATACCTTGTACATGTACTTGTATACCTTGTACATGTACTTGTATACCTTGTACAGGTACTTGTATACCTTGTACATGTACTTGTATACCTTGTACATGTACTTGTATACCTTGTACATGTACTTGTATACCTTGTACATGTACTTGTATACCTTGTACATGTACTGGTATACCTTGTACATGTACTTGTATACCTTGTACATGTACTGGTATACCTTGTACATGTACTGGTATACCTTGTACATGTACTTGTATACCTTGTACATGTACTTGTATACCTTGTACATGTACTTGTATACCTTGTACATGTACTTGTATACCTTGTACATGTACTGGTAGTAAATCAAGATAGTAATTGACGAACGTAGTGCCTAAAGTAGGGCTTGTAACGTTGGTCACTGTAATTTGACAACAGTGCCAGGAACAAGAGCCTGACAAAGAACCCACAGAACTGTTAAGAGGCTGATTGATCCGTCGGGAATCGTGTCCATTAAGAGTGAAACGTATTCTGTAGAAATGTGTTAGATACCAGACGAGTTGAAGATTGAGACACTTAAGCAACATGTGGGAATCTTTATTTAGGAAACGTTTCGCCACACAGTGGCTTCATCAGTCCAATACAAAGCAGAAAGGTGTAAGGAGAAGAGGAGTTTGAAGTAATCAGTCCCTCAACCTGGAGTCGATGTATTCAATCCATCAAGGTTGAATACCACACATGTGCAATGGTAGGTAAGACATAGGCAAAAGGTATTCCGAAACGTTTCGGAATAAAGATACATAGCTGTTGCCTATGTGTCTCACCTACCAACCTGTCGGTATTGTATACCATTTTAATATTCACACATATACCATACTTCGGTATCTTTTGCCAGCCAGTGACTTCATCAATCCGGTACACAGTGTGATGAGATCCTTATCGGTTACGTTTCGCGCAGACATCTTTTTGTGATTTGATCAAGTCCAGTGTGTGGGCGAAACGTTGTAAATAAAGGATCATATGCTGTTTTTGTGTCTATTCACCATCTTTACAGAGAAAATGGTGGAAGATGAGTTTAAGGTAACCAGTCCCTTGGCCTGGAGTCGATGTGTTGACTCACGAAATCGTAATGACACGATTGTAAACAAACCATACCACGGGTGGGGCTAGAACCTGCGGTCAGAGAGTCTCTGGAGTTTTGAGACTGAACATTAAAATGGTATAAAATACCGACAGATTGTTAGGTAAGACACATATGCAACAGTTAGGTATCTTTATTTCGAAACGTTTCGCCTACACAGTAGGCTTCTTCAGTCGAGTACAGAAAAGTTGATAGAAGCAGAAGAGACTTGAAGATGATGTAATCAGTCCATCACCCTTAACAGTTTTGAGACTCTCTGATCGCGGGTTCTATCCCCACCCGTGGTATGGTTTCCATATGTTGAGTCTACCAATCTTAATGGACTGATTACATCGACTCCAGGCTGATGAGGGACTGATTACCTCAGCCTTTTAACCTCCCACCGTTCTCTTTGTTCGACTGAAGAAGATACTGGCTGGCGGCACATATCGCACAGTTGTGATAAATTGGAACACCGTGGGGAAACGTTTCGCCACGCAGTGGCTTCATCAGTCCAATACAAAGAAGAACCTCCTGGCTAGAGGTAATCAGTCCCCCAGTCGATGTGTTCAGTCCAACAGTCGTTAGAGACTGATTGCCTCTAACTGTTCATGAGAAACAGTACTCACAGGTGGTGGAGTCTGGGCATGTGGTGGAACAGCTGGTCACTCACTGTTTCAATGGCGTTGTTTCTCAGATCTCTGTTGGAAGAAACAGTGAATTATAATTAAATCAAGTCAAGGAACGGGTGGGGATTGAACCCGTGCAAATAAGTCCAAAACCTCGCTGGCAAGTGCGTTAACCACTGGGCCAGTTGACTCTCATAAGATTCACCCAGCTAGATGTTATTACCATTTTCCGAGTCAATTGAGTTTTTCTTGTCAGCTTAGTCAAATAATTTGGTGTTTCACGATAGAATATTTGCATAGTAAATGACTTAGAAGTTATATCAGGAATGGTTAATGAAGCTTAGTGACAAGTGGTTTAATGGACCAGGAATTTGTGTAATGAGTCAAGGTCAGCTGCAGCAAGTAGGTCTAAGTTAAAACTGCGTTTAGTGTATAATGAATTAGACACACGTGAAACATCTGGGTAAGATAAGATAAGATAAGATGAGATTTCGTTCGGATTTTTAACCCCGGAGGGTTAGCCACCCAGGATAACCCAAGAAAGTCAATGTGTCATCGAGGACTGTCTAACTTATTTCCATTGGGGTCCTTAATCTTGTCCCCCAGGATGCGACCCACACCAGTCGACTAACACCCAGGTACCTATTTACTGCTAGGTGAACAGGACAACAGGTGTAAGGAAACGTGTCGAAATGTTTCCACCCGCCGGGAATCGAACCCGGGCCCTCCGTGTGTGAAGCGGGAGCTTAAGCCACCAGGCCACCGGGCCTGGTGGCTATCCAGTGGCTTTATCAATACAGTACATGGACGTCATAGAAATATACACAGCACATAGTGGAAAATTAGGTAATCAGTCCCTCAGCCTACAGGTGATGACCGTAGTCTTGAAGACTCTGAGGCACAGGCAGGCAGTCAGGAGCTGGTACACTGGGGTCAAGAAGTGCACCAGTTTTCTCTATTTGATGGCGAAACGTCTACAAGATACCCAGATGTTGAACATGTGTCTAATTTAACATCTCTGGTTTAGACATAAAAGGCCTGGTGGGAACTTCTGGAATCATTAACATGTCAGAATTCCGAGTGATGATGTTAATAGTTTGTAGATAAATGGTTCAGAGAACCGACATGTTGATAAATTAGACACATGTGCAACTCTTGGGTATCTTTATTGAGGAAACGTTTCGCCACACAGTGGCTTCATCAGTCCATACAAAGGAGAATCTTGAAGAACAGGAGGAGAATGAGGTAATCAGTCCCTTCTCAGCACGTATGCCGTATTCTATTCAAGATTGATGGACTGACCACATCGACTCAAGGTTGAGGGACTGATTACCTCATTCTCCTCCTGTTCTTCAAGATTCTCCTTTGTATGGACTGATGAAGCCACTGTGTGGCGAAACGTTTCCTCAATAAAGATACCCAAGAGTTGCACATGTGTCTAATTTATGTTAATAGTTGCAAAAAGAGCAATTTATAAACACCTGTTGCAGAATGAGACATTTGTGAAGCATCTGGGACTCTTTACTGTGGTGACGTTTGGCCAGCCAGTGGCTTCTGCTGTCCAGTACAGAGAAAAACATAGGTGGTGTAAACCTTGGTAATAAATACCGACAAGTTGGTTTAGAAAGACACGTAAGCAAACACTATAACATATTTATTAGAAAACGTTTCGGTCCTAGGACCTTGAAAAGTGATCTTTCTAAACCAAAAACATAGGTAAACGCCTCTGAGAACTGACAAGTTGATATTATAAGATAAGATAAGATAAGATTTCGTTCGGATTTTTAACCCCGGAGGGTTAGCCACCCAGGATAACCCAAGAAAGTCAGTGCGTCATCGAGGACTGTCTAACTTATTTCCATTGTGGTCCTTAATCTTGTCCCCCAGGATGCGACCCACACCAGTCGACTAACACCCAGGTACCTATTTGCTGCTAGGTGAACAGGACAACAGGTGTAAGGAAACGTGTCGAAATGTTTCCACCCGCCGGGAATCGAACCCGGGCCCTCCGTGTGTGAAGCGGGAGCTTTAGCCACCAGGCCACCGGGCCTAGTGATTGCTTCTGTGTTTTTCTAAACCAACTTGTCGGTATTTATTACCAAGGTTTATACCATGCTGGTGTTATTGCTGGCAAGACGGCCAGAGGTGTCCATAATTTGATCAACTGGTGGCACTAAGAGTGTTGGTAACTCTGACTAACGACGATATATCCATCTTGTCTATCCTAGATGGTTTTTTTTTTGGTTTAATATGTTTATTATGCACCCCATACCCATCCTGTGGGCGGTAGTCAAAAGATTACAGAGGTACATAATGGGTCCAGGGACTGGGCCTCATATCCTAGATGGACAACTTCAATGACGGGTCTATAGAGTTGCGTTTATTTACTCTGTGTGTGGAGTCGCTCGAGTGTGGTCACTAGGCTGTCTTCTGTATATTGCAGTCTCGTTATTTCAATGGGATATGCGGTTTGTGTCTTCTGTTCCAGGTGATCCACGTAAAGCAGGGGTTCCCAGGTGCTCGGAACCCCTGGGAACCCCTGCAACTAACACCTACAACTAACCACTATCCTTACTATTGTTAAGGATTGTGGTTAGTTGTTGTTGGTGGTGACTGGACCAGCTTCTACAACCAACAACTACAACTACACATAGGCAACTTTATTCCGAAACGTTTCGCCTACACAGTAGGCTTCTTCAGTCGAATACAGAAAGTAGGCCGAGGGACTGACAGTCTCAAATTCTACGACTTCAAGGGTGATGGACTGATTACATCGTCTTCACATCTCTACTGTTCCTGCCTACTTTCTGTATTCGACTGAAGAAGCCTACTGTGTAGGCGAGACGTTTCGGAATAAAGTTGTCTAACTGTTGCCTATGTGTCTTACCTACCAACCTGTCGGTATTGTATACCATTTTGATGTTGATCTTGTCAGACACTGCAACACATGGCATTTTGGTACAGAAAACACCTTGGACAACCCTTTCAAGTGAGAACTGTTGGATCTGACAGGGACCTGACCTCTCAGTGGCTACATTCTCACTACTACTACTACTACTACTATTACTATACTACTACTACTACTACTACTACTACTACTACTACTACTACTACTACTACTACTACTACTACTCTGCACCTCTCCTTCCGACAGTATTTAAGTCTCCGCACTGTCGCTTGATCTTCAGATAGTTCCTGACTATGGAACTGAACTTCTCCAGGCCGAGGGACTGACAACCTCAAATTCTACGACTTCAAGGGTGATGGACTGATTACATCGTCTTCACATCTCTACTGTTCCTGCCTACTTTCTGTATTCAACTGAAGAAGCCTACTGTGTAGGCGAAACGTTTCGGAATAAAGTTGCCTAACTGTTGCCTATGTGTCTTACCTACCAACCTGTCGGTATTGTATACCATTTTGATGTTCAACTACAACTACAACCACTACAACCTGGCAGTCTTCAAGCTGGCACTGGACAAGCACCTAAAGTCGGTTCCTGATCAGCCGGGCTGTGCCTCGTACGTTGGTTTGCGTGCAGCCAGCAGTAACAGTCTGGTTGATCAGGCTCTGATCCACCAGGAGGCCTGGTCACAGACCAAGCCGCGGGGGCGTTGACCCCCGGAACTCTCTCCAGGTAAACTCCAGGTACACAACAATGAAGACTGAAAACGGGTTGCCGGGGGTCTTTTGACCTCACAAAGGCATAATTCTGGGAGCTCGTACGGAAAATCACTACGTTTTATTCTTAAATTACACACGGAAGAGGAAGGGAAAGGACGGTAAGAACAAAATGGGAAGACCAGTGAGGTGAGGATAAAGACGGAGAATAGGGAGAGCCAAGAAAAACCGTATGATTGCTTGAATAGAAAGGTATTGTATTAGAATTAGATAGCAGGATGAATTGTAATCACGTAGACAAATTAGACACAGGTGCAACAATTGGGTATTTTATTGTGTACTGATGATGCCACTGTGGGGCGAAACGTTTCCACAATAACGATACCCAAGTGTTGCATATGTGTCTAATTTATCAACTTATCTGTACTCTGAGTCGTTTATCTGAAGTAGATGTTGGGACACTTGGTTCTCTGGTATGATAAACACTGAGGGACACAAGAGAAGAGGAAATATGTGGGCATACGAACACTGAGAAATTACTTACAACATCTTAAGGCTACGGAGACCTGTGAAGACCGCATCGTCCAGTACCTTCAGCAGGTTGTGGGAGAGTGTTCTGTAATGAGATACAGTGTTCTCAGTGTTGTTGTTATACACACGTTCACGCACCCTAACATCTAGACACACATACACACACACACACACATACACACACATACACACACACACACACACAAACTCACATACCCAAACACACGATGACATACCCATATACACCCCAATATCCAAACACACACTCAAACTCCCTAATACCACTCAAACACACTCATACACCCTACCACCCAAAGATACACAATCATACACCCAAACATTCCCACTCACTACTTTTCACACTCACAAACCCACATTCACACAGAGATCCCCTCACGCACACACCAACACACACACACACACACACACACACAGGTCTGAAGACAATGATGGAAATTCAGAGTCAGGCGCAGACAAGGGGATGGTAAGCAACAACGGAGACATGCCGTACACGAAGGACCTATCAGACCCACGTGGGGCCAGGGAAAAGACGATGAGCACACTAAGATCAAGCGACAGGTCCGAAGAAAATGAAGGTTTGTTATATGCAGAGGTTCTAACAGCCAACTGCAGTAGCAAGGGACAGCTGGCCAGGAAAGACAGTCCACTGAGAATAGATGTTTCAGATATGACAGGGACTGAAGGCAAGAACATGTCAATGGAAGGAAACAAAATGCCTCAGAGGAAGCAGATGGAGACTCAGTGGGAGGAGGAAAGGGCGAGGTCAATTTTTGTGTACGGGCTCCAAGAAGCCAAGGGGGCCAACTTTGAAGAAATAAAACAGGAGGAGAAAAAAATGATTGAAGGCATCATGAAAACAATAGGGGAGGGCAATATGACCCAGGTGACAAATTTTCAGAGAATTGGGTGGTTTGCGAGTGGAAGGATACGGCTGTCAGAGTAACTTTCAAGGAAGAATCAGTTCGAATCAGGATTCTGCAAGAGAAAGCAAGACTGAGAGACAAAGAGGGGTACCAGAGAGTATACCTCGACCGCGACAGAACACAAGAAGAAAGGACTACACTGAAAGAGAGGGTACAGAGACGCAAGGAGGAACGAGAAGTAATGAAAATGAGCAGGACCCAGACACAGGAGGAAGGGCAAACACACCCCACAGAATCTCCCACCAAAAGACCCCACCCGCGACATTCCCAACGCAACTGAGCAACCTATACTCCAACCCACTCACTGTTCCCTCTGCCACCAACCCCCATATCACAAACCTCACCCCAACAGCTGTCCCTTATGGGCATTCTGACCCACCCCCATCAACACATACCCCACCTACACCACAGCCCCATATAGGCCCCCACCAAGGCTCTCCCTCCCCCAACCCCAATATACTTGCATGACCACAATGATAGAAAGGAAACTAAAGGTTTGGTACACAAATGCGGATGGAATAATGAATAAACATGAGGAGTGGAATGAAAGAATCAGTGAAAAATCCCCAGACATCATAGCAGTCACAGAAACAAAACTCGCTGAGATAATAACAGACACAATCTTCCCAACAGGATATCAGATCCTGAGGAAAGATAGAAGAGAGTAGAGGGGGAGGAGGGGTTGCACTGCTCATAAAACACCAATGGGGATTTGAGGAAATGGAAGGCATGGACATGATTGGAGAAAAAGACTACATTGTAGGTACAATTCAGTCCGGAGAACATAAAGTAGTCATTGGAGTGATGTATAACCCACCACAGAACTGCAGGAGGCCAAGAGAGGAGTACGAAGAAAACAACAGGGTGATGGTGGACACACTGGCTGAGGTGGCAAGAAGAGCTCACTCGAGCAGAGCAAAGTTACTGGTAATGGGCGATTTCAACCACAGGGAGATCGACTGGGAAAACCTGGAGCCACATGGGGGTCCCGAAACATGGAGAGCAAAGATGATGGATGTGGTACTTGAAAACCTCATGCATCAACATGTCAGGGACACAACCAGAGAGAGAGGGGAGGATGAGCCAGCAAGACTGGATCTTGTGTTCACCCTGAGCAGTTCAGACATCGAGGACATCACTTACGAGAGGCCCCTTGGAGCTAGCGATCATGTGGTTCTGAGTTTTTGACTATAATAGTAGAGTTACAAGTGGAGAAGGTAACAGGAACTGAGGGACAGGCCAAACTATAAAAGGGGGACTACACAGGTATGAGAAACTTCCTGCAGGAGGTTTCAGTGGGACAGAGAAATGGTAGGAAAATCAGTAAACGAGATGATGGAATATGTGGCAACAAAGTGCAAGGAGGCAGAGGAAAGTTTTGTTCCCAAGGGAAACAGAAATAATAGGAAGACCAAGACTAGTCCTTGGTTTACCCGAAGGTGTAGGGAGGCAAAAGCTAAGTGCAACAGAGAATGGAAAAGGTACAGGAGCATAGGACCCAGGAAAACAAGGAGATTAGTAGAAGAGCCAGAAACGAGTATGCGCAGATAAGGAGGGAGGCCCAGAGACAGTATGAAAACGACATAGCATCGAAAGTCAAATCTGACCCGAAACTACTGTATAGCCACATTAGGAAGAAGACAACAGTCAAGGACCAGGTGATAAGGCTGAGGAAAGAAGGTGGGGAGACTCACAAGAAACGATCAAGAGGTATGTGAGGAGCTCACACGAGATTTAAGGAAGTATTTACAGTAGAGACAGGAAGGACTCTGGGGGGACAGACCAGATGGGGACACCAACAAGGAATACACCAACAAGTGTTGGACGACATACATACAGATGAGGAGGTGAAGAAACTGCTAAGGGACATCGATACCTCAAAGGCAATGGGACCGGACAACATCTCTCCATGGGTCCTTAGAGAGGGAGCAGATATGTTGTGCGTACCACTTACCACAATCTTCAACACATCCCTGGAAACTGGGCAACTACCTGAGGTATGGAAGACAGCAAATGTAGTTCCCATTTTCAAAAAAGGAGACAGAAAAGAGGCACTAAACTATAGACCTGTGTCATTGACGTGTATAGTATGCAAAATTATGGAGAAGATTATCAGGAGGAGAGTGGTGGAACACCTGGAACGGAACAGGAGTATAAATGCCAACCAGCACGGATTCACGGAAGGCAAATCCTGTGTCACAAAACCTTCTGGAGTTTTTATGATAAAATAACAGAAGTAAGACAAGAGAGAGAGGGGAGGGTTGATTGCATCTTCTTGGACTGCAAGAAGGCCTTTGACACAGTTCCCACAAGAGATTAGTGCAGAAGCTAGAGCATCAGGTGCATATAACAGGAAGGGGCACTGCAATGGATCAGAGAATACCTGACAGGGAGGCAACAACGAGTCATGGTACGTAATGATGTATCACAGTGGGCACCTGTGACGAGCGGGGTCCCACAGGGGTCGGTCCTAGGACCAGTGCTATTTTTGGTATATGTGAACGACATGACGGAAGGGTTAGACTCAGAAGTGTCCCTGTTTGCAGATGATGTGAAGTTAATGAGGAGAATTAAATCTGATGAGGACCAGGCAGGACTTCAAAGAGACCTGGACAGACTGGACACCTGGTCCAGCAAATGGCTTCTCGAATTTAATCCTGCCAAATGCAAAGTCATGAAGATAGGGGAAGGGCACAGGAGACCACAGACAGAGTATAGGCTAGGTGGCCAAAGACTGCAAACCTCACTCAAGGAGAAAGATCTTGGGGTGAGTATAACACCGAGCATGTCTCCGGAAGCACACATCAATCAGATAACTGCTGCAGCATATGGGCGCCTGGCAAACCTGAGAACAGCATTCCGACACCTTAGTAAGGAATCATTCAAGACACTGTACACCGTGTATGTCAGGCCCATACTGGAGTATGCAGCACCTGTTTGGAACCCGCACTTGATAAAGCACGTCAAGAAACTAGAGAAAGTACAAAGGTTTGCAACAAGGTTAGTTCCAGAGCTAAGGGGAATGTCCTATGAAGAAAGATTAAGGGAAATCGGCCTGACGACACTGGAGGACAGGAGGGTCAGGGGAGACATGATAACGACATATAAAATACTGCGCTGAATAGACAAGGTGGACAAGGACAGGATGTTCCAGGGAGGGGACACAGAAACAAGAGGCCACAATTGGAAGTTGAAGACACAAATGAGTCAGAGAGATAGTAGGAAGTATTTCTTCAGTCATAGAGTTGTAAGGCAGTGGAATAGCCTAGAAAATGACGTAGTGGAGGCAGGAACCATACACAGTTTTAAGACGAGGTTTGATAAAGCTCATGGAGCGGGGAGAGAGAGGGTCTAGTAGCAACCGGTGAAGAGGCGGGGCCAGGAGCTAGGACTCGACCCCTGCAACCACAAATAGGTGAGTACAAATAGGTGAGTACACACACACACACCTTCTCTCCCTCCCCTGCTCCTCTCCCGTTTTCTCTCCCCTCTTTCTCTCCCTCTTCCCTCTCCACTTCTCTTTCCCTTCCCCTCTCCCCCCTTATTCCCCCTTCTCTCTCCCCCTTTGCCACACACCCTCGCAAATACACACACACACACACAAACACAACCATACACCTCACGTATTATCACACAAAATTTATAAGTTTTATAATCTGTGTAATCAAAATAAAATTAAAGATTGCCGAAGAGCAGGACGGAAATGCAGGGGACTGGAGGATGAGTCTGGGTAACAGAGCTCATGATAAAGGAATAAGAGTGGTGAAGGATGCTAGAAGAGCTTAGCAATAAAATGGAGGAGAGAGGATGGCTATAGAGAGCAGGAAATGGGAGCTACAAACCACAGCTCGAGAGAGGCTAGGATGCAGAGCTAAAAGGAGGAATTAAAAAAGCTGAAATAGTCTAAAGAACCAAAGAGCAGTTTGGGCATGACATCAGGAACTGCTGCATCAATAACAAACAAGGGGATTGAAGGGAATGAAGGAGTTAAACTGCACAGAGAGGCCTTATCAGATCACCATGGAGCCCAGGAAAAGACGAGGAGCAGTAACACAGGAGGGTACTGAAAGAAACAAAAGAGCTAAGCTGTATGCAGAGGCCCTAACAGACCACAGTGGTGCCCAGGAAAAGCCGAGGGGGG